TAACAGTTTTTTTCATGATCTTTCCTTTGTCTTGTAAAGAAATAACTCACACACCTATGCCTTATAAATTTCGCTCTAACCCTCAACACATTGCAGCTCTTCACTACCCATGGGTCCTGTCTCCATGCTATTCTCTGAATAAGAGAGAACTACTGGCAGACCTTGAGAGTCCAGGACGTCTTTCGACTCCTCGACTCACCAAGCTTGCATCAGTGACATTTTCTCCAACCACTCTGATCTTTCCTTCTTCTGAACTCACACTGCAGTCACTCTCACACCATTTAGCATCCAAGCATTACTCATGTCATGTGTATTTGCTTTATCTGCTCAAAGGATCTGTGTCACTCCAAGCCCTTAGGGCCTGTACTATTTCTACAGCCCCAAGGCTGAACTCAGTACCAGGCACAAAGGAAGCACTTAATGCCTGTTTTACTGAGAGAGAAAACCAAACAAGTCATACTGAAGCCAGGTACCTAAGGGTTACTATAGATATTGAAGCAATTTGCTGTTTTCCTGTTTAACTTGAGAGGTGACTCAGGGGTCTCGAGGAGTTGTGAGCTTGTTTTCCAGAGCATTTGTGAGCTGTGTTGCAGAAGAAAGAGAATGCCTTGGGGGAGGTTGCAATCACCTGGTGGCTGGCCTCTACAGCCACTGAAGCCCAGAAGTCAGATTGCCCAGGGGCTTATCGGGAGTGACCCTTTGTTTTCCCGGAGCTCCTCCTGCCAAGCCCCATAGCTCCAAAAAACCCCCCTGCTTTCTGTTCTTGGGGAGGTGGATTTGAGCGAACCCAAGCTCCCACCTACTCATTTTGGCCAATTTGAATAAGTCTTTCTCCATCTCCAAGCACTATGTCTCAGTGTTTCGTTTGCTGTGCATTGGGCACACAAACTTGAGATTAGGAGGTTCGGTATCAATACCAAGGCTCTCTCCCCTTACCTCACACCCATCTTCTCTCCGACCAGGCAAGCAGGTTTACGCCAGAACATCTCCTGCATTCACATGATCGCATCTGCCTGCTCCTTTCATTTCATAAAATCCTACCAGGCTCTCAAGGTCAGTTGACGCCCCTTCTCCAACAACCCCACATTACATTAAGCATCCCTTCATCTGCTGTTACTCCTCGGCAACCACTCTGTACCCGCACTGTCTAATGTGGTAGCCACTCACCCCATGTTGCCAGTGAAATGTGCTATAAATGTAAAACACCTAGGAACTTTGAAGACTTGGCACAAAACAAAGAATGGAAAATATTTCACATATTCATTTCATTTTAAAGTGATAATATTCTGGATATATTGGGTTAAATAAAATAGATTAGTAAAATTAATTTCACCTATAACTTTTTCACATATATTTGCTATATTAGTAGAAATAATTTCACAAATCAACTAAATTTATTTATTCTTCCTCCCCCCCAAGTTGTACTGAGGTATAATTGACATACTATTTGTTCTCTTTTAAATGTGGTTATTAGATAATATAGAATTGCCTATATGGCTCGTATTTGTGGCTCACATTACTTATCTCCTAGACATGGTTGCTCTATACCCTCATGAGCTTTTTCTCCCCTGCCTTGCCCTGTACCGTCCTTTTTCCTGAGATGCGCTGTTCTCTCATCTAACTGAAGACCATCCTGGTAGGCCTAGGGCTTAGCACAGTGACAGGATACCCAGGGACCCTCCATATGACGTTGCTGAGGATGATCACAGAATCACAAATTGTCTTCTCAGAGCATCAGGGCTGTAAAAGGATCCTTGATGCGGAGCCCAGATAAGCACAGCATACACATGCAGCTTCCTGGTGGTCAGTTCAGGGCTATTTGTCAGTTCCTTGTACCTGCAGATTCCCCTGAGGCCCTTAATACAATTCCAGCGGGCTCTTGATCTTCCCAATGTTTCTCAAGGTTATTTGGATGTTAATGAAAGACTCAATCTGGGGCATCCTGAGTCTAGATTATTTAGGAATGAGCAGAGTTTTTCGTGAAGAAACAGCAAAAGAAGCCTCTCGATACTATTGTTCTTCAAAATTAACTGGAGGAATGACAGAAGAACTTTATAACACAGCTCAGTTATAATATAGATCAGCACTGTCAAATAGAACTTTCTCTGATGATGGAAAGGACTAATATGGTAAGTGCTCAGCACTTCTGGCCGTAAAATTTTAATGAATTTAAATTTACAGGTAGGGGCCGGCCCTGTGGCCTAGTGGTTCAGTTGGCACACTCTGCTGCGGCAGCCCAGGGTTTTGCAGGTTCGGATCCTGGGCGTGGACCTAGCATGGCTCATCAAGCCACGCTGAGGCGGCATCCCACATGCCACAACTAGAAGGACCCACAACTGAAATATACAACTATGTACCGGGGGGCTTTGGGGAGAAGAAGGAGAAATAAAATCTTTAAAAAAATAAATAATAAATTTACAGGTAAATACTTATTAGGGCTAGTAGTTAGCTACATTTTACACAATGCCATTCTATTCCAAGTTATCCTAAAAAGAAATGTTTCTCTTCTTTCTAAAAGTAGAGAGATCATGAATATTAAGAATTACTGGAATAATAACAAATAAATATGTACCACTTCCATTCTAGATGATATTCTTTATATTTCATTAAATTAAGAATTAACATTATTAAATTAATTTTCTTATGATCTAAGATCTCATGCTTAATTTTTTAAAAAGACTTTATTTATTTATAGTACAGAGATTTCCCATATACACACTGTGCCCCCACACACATAGCCTCCCCTGTCATCAACATCCCCCATCAGAGTGGGACATTGGTTACAATTGTGGAATCTACACTGACACATCGTAATCACCTGGAGTCCATAGTTTACATGAGGATTCACTCTTGGTATTGTAATTCTATGGGTTTGGACAAACGTATAACGACATGCATCCATTGTAGGGGAGCAGAATTTATCACTCTAAAATATGTGCCTTTGGCATAAGGATTATTTTAGGCTGGTTATTTTTAAGAAACAGCAGACATAGGAGAAACTCTGAAAACCAAATAGAAGTTACCCTTTGTAAAAGACATGTGAGGGAGGCACTGAGCCTATGATGGCGATAAAGACGATGATGTTAACAATCATAGTAGCAGAAGTAGCTGCCAACACTGAGTCCTCACTGTGTGGCAGGTGCTAGCTAAGGCCTATAGACGTTATCTTTTCTCTCTCTCAATCTTGGGTCATTCTTGGTCACAAGTGTACACTGGGCCTTCTGCTGGGGTACTGAGCTTCCAGAAACAAAGAATATTGTCAGACTTCTCAGATGAGCCTCTGGGATTTAGGAACAGGATATGCTCAGTGGCCCAGGGTACAGAGACCATGATATTCTCCTCAGTGAAAACAGGGAGGGGCAGTGAAATTGCCAAAAACAAAATCAAATTATGACTGGCACTTGTTTTTCTTAGCAACTTACAAACAAGAACATCTGATGTGGAAAATTAATCAAGGGAAGCCCCCACATCCCCAAGCCACCACTGCTTTTTGTTTTTGTTAACACTAAAAGGAGCAAATTATCCAAAAGACAAGCATATTGGATTTGAGACCTTTAACTTTCAACTTCCTGTTAAAAAAAAGTAAAACTTTAGTCACTAGCTAAATATGACTATTTTTTTCCACTTTAAGCCTTAGACCGCAAAGTGCCAGCATCGAAAATGAGCCAGTCCAAGTAGGATGTGGGCCTGCTGGTAGGAAGCCACACCCAGCAACCAGAAATTTATTATGACTCTGGCCAGTTCATTTCAATGAGTCAATGTTAGAGGAAACAAAGTAAACTTACAATAAAAATATATTTATGGAGCAGCTTCAAGTCCTTGGATTTAGCTAGATTAGTATTACTAATTTACAAGCATTCCTTTCTTAACTATTTGTTTAATTATGTGCATATGGGGTCAAAAGAGAGCAAACCCAAAGAGAAAAAGTGCAGAAACCTAGATCTAGAAGGAAGCCAACATTTGAACACATTGTATCAGTTCCCTTAAAATAATTGAAAAGATGAAAAAATTCCTCGTTACTGCTATACTTACCCATTTCATCTCTCCACAAACTCAGACTCATCTCTCCACAAATACACACATTATCTACTTATCATCTCAATGGTTCTTAACCAGGGGCAATTTTGTCCCCCAGAGCCCATTTGGTAATGTCTGCGGACATTTTGGTTATTATAGCTGTGGGGGGTACTACTGGCATCTAGCGGGTAGAGGCCAGGGATGCTGCTAAACATCCTACAGCGCACACTACAGTCCCCTGACAACACAGAATGACCCACGCCCCAGTCAGCAGTGTCTCGGTGGAGAATCCTTGCACATGGACATGGACGGTAACTTGTATTTCAGGAGGGGAAGGAGATCGAGAGGTTCCAGGGAAGACCATGTGCTGCCTCACTTGTTCTTCTGCGTTTACAGCAGAGCACACACGTGGCAAAGTGGTCAGCTAGAAGTAACTGCAATTTGTAACTAGGGATGAAATATTCCAGAGCATGAAGCTACTGAGCTTGCAAACATTAATATGCAACTTCCAGAACGTTAAGATTCAAAGAAATAATTCTCAGTTTCTGGATCAACATTAGTAAGGAGACTATTGCTAACAACAAACAGTAAAGAGCAGGTCCCAAAGTATTTGAAACCGGGACATCTCCCTTGTCTTCCTTCTGCATGACATCATTCTAACATATTAAAATTGGTCAAGAAAAGATCTTTCTAAACCTTATTGTGGTAATCATTTTGCAATACGTGTGTGTTTCAAATCATCACATGGCACACCTTAGACTTACACAATGTTAAATGTCAATTACATCTCAATAAAGCTAGGAAAAAAAGAACTTTCCACATTTTAGAAGACAAATAGAGAAACAAGTAGCTATTTTCAGTTTTTATGGCATATAATCCCACTCTGGAATGCCACTGACATAGTACCCGCAAACACTTAACACACACGTGATTGCTAGGAAACAACCAGCCTTTCACTGTCTTTAAGGCAGCGGTGTACTCACAGGCTCGGTTCCGGGTTCTGTAAGTGCAGGTGTAGAGGCTGCAGGGCCTCACTGGCATGGACCTCGGAATCTGGAATCTTCTCCACGGTGACTTGCATGGAGAGGCTTGAAGAACGGCCCTCAGACGATTCATTAACTCCATCTTTAGCTTGAAATCTTGATCAGTTCCCAAATAACTTGCAGGAATCTAATAACCTAGAGGCAGGAGGACAGAGGAGGAAAAGCTGTAAACAATAGGGACTGACAGCATGTGGAAACCTCTAAGTAGGACAACAACATTCAGATTATTAGTATACCTGGGGCTGGGGGGGGGGGGGGGTGGGACGGGGAGACCCAAATGAGAGTGAATAGTTTATTCACTCTTGTTCCTCAAACTCATTGGTCACCTCACTGGCAGGGACCGGATGACTGACTCAGGCGCCTTGCCTTCCCTTTGGGGTGGCAAATAGTAGAGGTCCAGAGAAATGATTCTCTTTATCCACAAGAATGAAAAGACTGTTTACAGTTTCTTTTTTAAAAAAAAAAACAACAAGAAAACATTTACTCCCTGAAATCCAAATTAATTGTCCAGCATATTTATATGTAAGAAGTAACCAAAGATTAAAGTTCCCTCCAGGCAATCTGAATAAAAAAAATCAATCTGCATTGGGATTGCTTAAAAAAAAGCCCCAAGATACATTCTGCCAAAATAGTCATGGGCGGTTTTGAAATCTAAGCTTAAATATTTTCTGTGACTCTTTGCCAGTTTTAGGTGTAATGCTATGTCCCTGAATCCCGGGGAAAATGGAGAAGGGTAATCCTGAACTACTCTACAGGTAGATTCAATTTGAATATTAATATATGACTGCACTGATGACCCCTCTACCCCTCACATGTTCACAGTGAAAGTCTCAGAAGATGATGCTTTGTAAGGCATTCACTACAGTGTTCTGAAATCATGGTAATGTTAACTTTGAATGCTTCTCCTCTCCCACCCAATATTGCTTTATCCACTTTTCCTGAAAACTCCTTTCCTTGTTATAAGTGAGCAAACAGGATCAGAAATGAAAAAACAATTTTTTTTCTTGATTATACATTCACTCCACTATAAATTTCAAAGAGTTTAGAGTGATTACTTGAGATGCATTCAGACAGCTGCTCAGGACACCATTCGAGCAACCATGAGTGCGGTTCAGCTGCATGGCCCTGTGCCCTGGCCCTGCTGATCTCTCAGCGTCACATCCACTTCACGCTCCTGCCTGCACACCAGCCACGTGCACTTTGGATCTTCCAACTCCTGATGCTCCCTCGAGCCTCAGGGCTTGTGCAGAAGCTCCTCCTTCCCTTGACCAACCTCCATTTGTGCCTGGTTAATTCCTACCCTCTCCTCAGATGATCCACTCCAGCGTCACTTCCTCAAAGCCTACCCTGACCACATTAGAATTAGGGTTAGGGTTAGGTGAATTTGGAGTGCCAATGGGAAGGGGTATTGCATTTTTAAATAAATCGCTCACAGGAAGCTTAGTGAGGTGAAATTTGAGCTAAGGATTGAAGGACTTGCAGGAATTAGTTATGCATATGGATATCAAGAGGAAGGGTATTTCAGGCAGAGGAAATTGCCTGTGCAAAGACCCTGAGGCAGGAGCTTGTCTGGCACATGCAACAGACAGTAAAGAGGCCAATATGGCAGGAATGGAGTGAACCAGGAGGAGGGTAGTAGGAGATGAGGTTGAGAGGTAATAGATGCCAGATCAAGCAGACTTTTAGGCGACTGTCGAGGTTTTTTCTCTAACTCAGTTTCTCAACCTCGATATTGTTGACATTTTTGACCAGAAAACTCTTTGTTTTGGGGGATGTCCTGTGCATTGTAAGACGTTTAACAGCATCCCTGGTCTCTACCCACTAGATGCCGGTGACACCCTCCCTTCAACTGTGACAACCAAAATGTCTCCAGACATTGCAGATGTCCCTTGGAGAAGGAGGGGTCACCTCTGATTGCAAACCATTGCTCTAAGTGAAATGAGGACACAACGGAGTTTGTGTGCCGCAGGACAGAATCTGATTTGCAGTTTTAAAAGATCATTCAGGGCGCCCTCCTAGAAACTGACTGGGATGGGAGGCAGGAAAGAAGCAGAGAGATCATTCAGGATAGTCCTGGCGCTGGAAGTAAGGATGTCACAGTGGACGTGGTGAGAAGTGATTGGGTGTTACCTATATCTTGGAGATACACCCCATAAGACGTGAAAGGAAGGAGTCAAGGATGACTGGAAGATTCTTGGGCTAAGCAACTGGAAGGATGCAGTTGCCATGAACTGAGGTGAGGATGACAGTGTGTGGAAAGGTTTTGGGCGGGAAATCAGTAGCTCAGATTTGGGCATGTGGAATTTAAAATGAAACTCCAATAATCCAAGTGAGAGACTATGAAGCACTGGACTAGACAGTGACAAAAGAGATCTACAAGGTACTTTGTATTCAAGAGATCACCATTTTGGTAAAAAACAGAGGGTTTGGCACTCAACTGGAAGACAGAAAAGGACAGGAGATGAGGAAGGCCTTGTGATTTTACAGCTGGAGTGGTGCTGGTGGTAGGATGAGGACGGATCCCTGAACAGAGAGGCAGAACCTGGCGCGAGGAGCAGGTGGGAAGGGGAAGATGGCACTCTTACTGCTAACCACCTTGGATTTGAGGCCCCAAGAGAGCAGGCGAGGGGAGAAGTCTAGGAGAGAGTCGGCAGTGCAGCTCTGGTGCTCAGGAGAGGTCATGAGGCTAGAGACAGAAGGAAAATCTCCTCTCCCCAGGAGTAACGGGCGTATAGAGGGGGGCTGACAAAATAGAGTGATTAAGGAGGCCAAGAGATGGTGAAGGAACAGTCAAAGGCAATCAAGGACGGAACCGAGCATGGAAGGTCGGGCGAGCAGGCTTCCCGGAAAATCCAAATGAACAGAAACTCAATTTAGCTAATGCTAGGCTACAACACCTGTAACAAGGAGACAGGAACCAGCCTAATGAGACAGGGCCATCTGCAAGTCCCCTGGCCTAAAATGATAAGGCCCCTAACCAATCTGCAAGCTAGGAGAATCAGATAGAGGCCACCAAGATCCAATTCCACAGTTTTGGGACTTTCCTGGGCTTACGCATGCGCTCTAGCACCCAGGAGTCCACTGAAGGCGACCCTAGCCCCATTAGCATAGTAAAAATCACACCCAGGGCTGGAAAGCTAGCCCGCTAATGATACATGCCACAGCGCAGCCGCAAGCACAAGTCTACGTCTCACGCCATGACAAGGCCCTCCTCCCCAGCCTTGGTCTAATAAAAGCCCCACAATCCTGCTCCCTAATGAGCCAGTCACCTGCCCCTTTCCTTTCTGCACTGGCTCCCTTGTGCCTCTCCTGTGCACAAACTAATCAACTTTTACTTTTCTACTCCCATTTGTTGTCTCTCTTGATTTCCATCCTGAGGGACAACAAGGACCCAGTACACCAGTAACATTTCGGTGACCCTGAAGGGACTTTCTTGAGTCCCGGTCGAAGATTGGACAGGTTGGCACCAGACTGGCCTGGCTGCTCAGATGTGGACATAAATGGCCACAGCCTAACCTGTTTTGGACTCCAGTGTTCAGAGGGTCCAACGCTCTCCAGTCCAACCAACTTTCTTAAAGTCTCCCTCTTTTCCTTCTCTCTCTTTCAATCTTTTATCCTCTTTCGGAGTATCTTCTCTCCTCTGGTTTCAGGGGCACCATGAGCCCCTGGGTCAGTCATTAGCCTGACAATCTCGCTTTTCTGGTTTGGGAGACTCTGCGTTCCACCTGTGGGCGCTCTCCTCTTCCAGACCTGATCACCCCAGCAACCCCAAGTGAGGTGCCCTCTCCTGGCGGTCCTGGTTTCTGTTAATCTGTTTGGGCACCTGGAGTGATTCCAGCTTGGCCCCTCTGTAAGTCATTTGACTGACATCTGGGATCCTATTTTGTTTTCTGTCAAGAACCTGTTGAGCATTTTAGGGGCCTACTGAGTCAGTTATGGGAATGGGAGGCCTCTAATCTATTCTGTAAACTGTCCTGCCTGGGAACTGTTGTTTGTGTGACCCTTATCTTGATAACCTTTGGAAAAAGGCTATGAGGGTGAGGCCTCATCACCTCTTTCCCTTCTTTGTCTTTTTCATTTGTCACCTCCTCTGTTATCACCAAGTCGAGGTTAAGTTGGGGCTGGACCCAAGCAGCAGAACTGGACCTTTTGTAAAATTGAAACTTGAAAACCTTTCGCCAAGAACCTTAACTATCAACCCGAGCACTAGGAGCCCTGGCCTCTGGTCTGCTCCAGGCCTTTGCCTCTTGCCTCCCTGGCTTGCCTGGTGCTGGCTCAGGGACTAAGCACCTGGGCTAGCAGGACTTGACTAAATCTTACAACTATACTGACACCCACAGTCGGGCTCTGCACCCTTCTCTAGGCCCACTGTCAGTCAGACTCGAGCTTTACTGCCATGGGGAACGCCCCAAGTATCTCGGGAGACTCACCCCTCAGGTGCACTTTAACTAATTGGAAACACTTTCAATTGCATGTGTTATGCCCCAGAAACTCCATCTTGGAGAAAACTTAAATGGTTTCTCTGTGCCTTTGTGATGCAGTTGGACAGGCAGTTTAACCTACAACGTCATTTAAGTTACAACCCAATTTCTGAGAAATCAAGAGCAATTGTCCTTAGAAAATCCTTGCAAGACTGGAAATGAAGCTCTAGAGGCAGTTCAGGTTCCCCCCATTTCCCTTATCTGAAAGAGCTTGCAAATCCTCTGAGGAATATCTAGCCCATCACTAATTCCTAGGACTGAAGGGAAAAAAAGGAAAAAGCAAGAAAAACGGCCATAAAAGTGCTCTTGCCAAGAATCTAGCATCCTGAGTGTCTTCTCCACAGATATTAGTATAAAGGCTTAAAACAAAATTTGGATTCCTAACTAGGGAGCTTTGTATTACTATACCTGATTCATGGCAGTAATTTTAAAATAATAGCTGTGTAGTTTCTATGTATGTGTGCCTATATGTATGTTAAATATGTGTGATATTTTACCTCCAGATGGTATAATTTTTAAAGTGCTCTATTCCATTTGCTTAAAGCAAGCACTTATATAAATTATTTGTAAATGTAACAGAAACTAACCCAAAGGTCTTTTAAGTTAACATGATATAAATTGATCTTTGGTAACTGAAAGCTTATTTAAGATGGTTGGTTTGATTAAAATGGAGACGTCCCCAGAGTTAGCAGCACTGGATATGATGCAGACGTACAGCCCGGGTTTACTAGTCAAACAAGCCCATGTTACCCCTCTTACAAATTTGTCAGCAAAATAATGGCTCAGGATGATAACTTATTTTGTCTAATGTTTCAAAGTCTTTATAGACAATCTAAGTAATTCTTGGGAACAATTAAACTAAATAGATTGAAAAAGATAAGAGTATTGAGTGAACTTTTTAACAATAGTTATGTGTTATGACTGCGTATTTAAGATAACTTCCAAAATCTCTCTGGTAACTTGAAACTTTGAAGTTTTGCTAGGTGAAATTAAACAATAAAAAACTCATTGAGGGGCCGGCCCGGTGGCACAGCGGTTAAGTGCGCACGTTCCGCTTCTTGGCGGCCCAGGGTTCACCGGTTCGGATCCCGGGTGCGGACATGGCACCGCTTGGCAAGCCATGCTGTGGTAGGCGTCCCACATAGAAAATAGAGGAAGTTGGGCATGGATGTCAGCTCAGGGCCAGGCTTCCTCAGCAAAAAAGAGGAGGACGGGCAGTAGTTAGCTCAGGGCTAATCTTCCTCAAAAAAAAAAACAAACTCATTGAATATCTGGGTCATTTTTTAAATAAGATAAAATACTGAAACATTAAATTACAGAACTCTAACAGAGAAATTGATGACTTCATGAAACTGCTGACAGAAGATTAAGATCAGGAATTGATCACACAGGACAGAATGAACTGATGAGAATGATTATAATTTTTATGATTTTTCATTGGAAATATTGTCAATTTTTTTAATGTTCTGTGTTTTTCAGATTTAAGGAAATATTTTTCTCTTCTCTCATGCTAACTATGACTTACAGCAATTTGATAAATTATACCTTTGTAAGCAGAACCAAAACATTTATTTTTCTCTCCCTACCTGATCCCTCCAAAATTTGGAAACTTTTAGTGAGTGAGTATTGTTTTCACGGCAATATAGTTATTTGCATAAGTTCAATAAGATTCTGTTCTCCTTATAACAGGACACAATTGGAAACATTGGTTATATTACCAAGGCTTTGACTAGAATGTCATATTTGAGGGAAACATACAGACTTAGATATGACAAGACAGCTTTAGAGGAATAAAGGTTGACTTTCTGGAATGAAGCCACTTGGAAATATTGGCCTGGTACCTTGTTTACAGAGTTCCCAGCAACCTTACTGGGTGAGCAAAAAAAGTCACTCCTCTGGCAGGTGCAAGGAACCTCAAGGATTTGTAGGTATTGCAGGTGGAGTCTGACAAGTCCTTGGCTTTGCTTGGCCTGGACTCGAGAGGCCTTTAAAGTTCAAGCTGAGATTCCTTATAAAAAGTTCCAGCAAAGCAGATTTGAAAGAACCTATATAATCAATTGCTATTCTTGCTATACTTATGTAAATAACTGGGCCAAGTTTATTGAAACTAGACTTATTTTGAAACCAATGAGTCTTAATTGGCTATCTTTGGTAAAAATGAGAGTGATTTTAGAGAGAAAAATTATGCTTCAATAGAAACTATAGTACACATTCATGGATATTAGGTTCTAGTTCTGATAATTGTCTTTGAGGTTTCTATCTGTAAACTGGACTAGATCCTGAATTCTTCTAGTCTCCTGAAATATCTGGCTACAAATCTCCAAACTAATATTTTCAGTTTTTTCCCATCACTTTCATTTGGAATCATTGAGAACTAAACCTGTTATTTTCCTGAAGCCCTGAAAACTGAAGCTGGACAACTTGATATAAACTTAAGAGAAATTCATGTCTGTTGCTGTGTAAGTCTCTCAGAAAGATACCTGGACACCCGATAACATCATCAGAGAGATTTCAAGCTATAAAAGATGCTTCAACTCTGACGTCTAGAAATCTTTTTGGCTGACTGCTCCCTGAGCTCAGAAACTGGTTTATAATTTGCTCCCACCAGTAACCGTGTTTTTCTTTTTTTTTTCACCAGAAATTACTTATGTTAATAACTCAGGGAAGGTTGAGATCAACATCTGGGAAATCTATGAACAAGTGTCCTGGCTTCACTGATATAACCAAGGAACAGACCCCAATTGGGCATGGTCACTGATCAAGGATGCCCTGCCACTCCTCACCTGGCTCCTTCCTTTCTTGGGACCCCTGGTAATCATCATACTTCTATTAATTTTTGGTCCATGTCGTTTTAACCTTCTTGTCAAGTTTGAGTCCTCTAGGCTCCAACAATTCCACGTTAAACTGATAGTCATGCAAGGATTCCAGCCACTTCCAAGAGCTAACCTACCTGGTCCTCATTCTCATTCCTACTGGACCCTGCAACAAGCTGAAAAAGATTTTTACTTCTCCTGGATATAGGGCCCCCTTCTCAATGTCCCCTGTCAGCAGGAAGTAGCTTCAGAAGAGACCGTTGCCCATGATGCTTAAGATTAAGGAGGATAAAATCTCTCAGGGCGGAAAGAGACAGGAACCAGCCTAATGAGACAGGGCCATCTGCAAGGCCCCAGACCTAACAACATAAGGCCTCTAACCAATCCACAACCTAGGAAGAATCAGATAAAGGCCACCAAGATCCAAATTCCACAGTTTGAGGACTTTTCCCTATTTATGCATGTGCCCTAGCACCCAGGAGTCCACTGAAGGTGACCCTAGCCCCATTAGCATAGTAAAAATCTCACCCATGGGTGGAGAGTTAGCATGCTGATGATACATGTTTCACACGTAGTAGCATGCTACATGACAGTGCTGGTGCAAGCACAGCCCCACCTCTGCATGCCATGACAAGGCACTCCTCCTCAACCTTTGCCTAATAAAAGTTCCACAACCCCACTCCCTGAAGAGAAAGTCACCTGTCCCTTTCCTTTCTGCATGGGATCCCTTGTGCCTCCCTTGTGCACAAGCTAATAAACTTTTACTCTACTCCTGTTTGTTGTCTCCCTTGATTTCCATCCTGGGGGATGACAAGAACCCAACGTGCAGGTAACAACAATACAAGATGTTGTTTATGCTAAAGCCTAAAGTCAATCCCCTCTGTTACACTGAAAGTTATAATTTATCGAGAGGTGGTTATTTAAACTTACCCACAGATCTCATAATACCCAAGCTTGTGAAACCACAAATAATGTTTGACAAATATAATGTAAACATAATCAAACATAGTATATAACAATGAACTAGTAGTGTGCACTACCAGATTTCAGAGAAAATCTGTCCTTACTTCTGTCCTTAAAGAAGGGACCACAGGCTGGATGGGCCCCAGGAGAGCTAAGTGTTCTGTGCTAAGTGCCTTAGCTGTTATAAGTATTTATGTATGTCCTTGGATTTTACTAACAAGTCCCTTATCTGCTGTTTTGCAAACTTAGAAATGTGTGAAAAAAGAAAAGATTCTGAAAGCCTTTAAAGAATCACTCAAAAATCATGTATTTATTAAATGACAAGTAGTTTGAACTCTGCCTGATTAACATTTATGTGTTTGCAAAACAGACAGCAAAAAAAAAAAACACACCCCAGTACTCTGACTAAAGGTTACAATTACATTGAAACAAAAATTCCTTGATTCTCATCAAACTGACCTTCCATTTTCTCATCTCCTGATTTCCAAAGGAAGCCACCAGCCTTTTGCAATTCCCTGAAATGTAAATTCAAGGTTATGCTGCCATGTCTTGACTGAGAAAGTTGAGCTTCTTCCTCTCACCCACTTCTTCCCTGAGAGCATGATCCCAATCTGGGCTGCCAAAGGCTTCAAAATGCATTTCTAGTAACTGCTTTGTGTGTTGCAGCTAACTGGCCCAGTGCCACCAATGAGCTGAAATGCATTTTCCTCCTTCCATCAGAATTCCGCAATATTCCTCTTCACTCATTCACTCACAGTTCACTCAGCCTTCATTGTGTTCCAACTGTGAGTGGTCACAGCTTTTTGCCTGGCTCCAGGGAGAGCAGGCCAGGTATGTACAGCCACAGGAATGGTGCCCTTTGGGTGAATTTCAGCCCTGGTACTAAGGTAAAAATTATCTGAGTAAAGGTTGAAGGCCCTGGATGGCTGAAAGGTTTTCCATTTCCAACATATCAGAGAACAGAGACCGTTGTGAGGGCTGTGCAGCGGCAGATCAGGGGTAGGGTCTGGGGCAGCTTCCCTCTCTAGAGAAATCTGGCTACTCCTTTCCATATTCCAGCAAGGCTTGTAAAGCAGAGTATAGATGGCCAGACTGTCAGTAAAGGAAGAATGGGAAGGAGAAATCACTGTGGTTTCAGCGGCTAGCAGAGAATAAGTTCTATCCAAATTAAGATGTACACGTGAACATATATTTCTCAAACTTTCCCTGTGAAAACACAAGGGAGGGGAGGACACTTACATTAATGTTAACGAGTTGCCATCAAGCCTCAAGGCAGTGGCGTTTAACACTGAATGCCACAAAGACTCAACCATCAACAATGTTTGTACTTCAGAGAGTCTCCCCCAGTTCTGGGGCGGGGCACAAAACAAAAAGACCAGAAGGAATTGCGGAATGAGGAAGGCTCAGATTTGTCCACGTGACACAGCTGTGATGCTGATTCCCTGCCTTGGGGGAGGCTGTGACTCCATCCACAGACCCTGGCATAGTCAGAGGCAGGCTTAGAAATACAAGGCAGACCCAAGTCTCGCTTGCTGCGCCTTAGTTTCTAGAACTGCAATCTCAGATTTGTAGCCTTTAGCCCTGTCTCCAGCTATTTCACAGCAGGCTGGACTTTCTTGAGTTATTCACAGCCAACCACCCGTAACAACACTCCCTCCTAAGGAACTGCCCACACGCCCCCCGCCCCCCGCGACAAACTCCCCAGGACAGCTGTTTTCCCATCAAGTGCAAATAACCCTAAAGGAGGTGCAGCTATCTGTTTAGTGACTCCCATAGCAAAAGAGGGCTGCCAGGAGCACGGGGGCGAGGACCTACTGGATTCCCTATTCCCCTGGGCGCCCCGTGGGGATCCCGGCTCGCAGGACCAACAGCTGTCCCGGCTTTGAGACCTGGCGTGGAAGGACGGCAGAGTGTGAGAAGGGTCCCAGCCCTCCCCGAGTCAGCCTCTCCGCGCTGTGGCCCCCACTCCACTCGGCCCGCCCTTACCTGAGGGCTTCCGCAGAGCACGAACCTTAAGGTTCGCTCCAGTCCCGGTACCCGCGGCTTGCCCGTTCTGCCATCATAGCCACGCCCCTGGTCACACCCCGCAGCCTGGGCCACGCCCCACCCATCTAGGCCTCTCCCATATGACAGGGCCAAGCTCCCTCCACGTCCTTACGTGCTGCCCTGGCCACGCCCCTCCCTCCACAGCCAGGCCCCTCACCCGGGCCTCGCCCCTGAGCTCTGCGTGGGCCCGCCCCTCCGCTTTGGTTACGCCCCTGCGCTCCGCTCGGGTTTGGATGTGACAATAAATGATGAGCAAGTTAGAGAAGATGTGGCAAGGGGTTGATGGGTGGAAAAGTATTTCTTGATTTGATTAGTAGGAATATTTTTGGGTGGAAAACATAGAAGCCACTTTTATAGGACTTAGCACACTTCTTTACATAGTAACTTCTCAACAAATCTTCATTCAATAGCTACTCTTTCACTGGTATAGGATGATAACATTTCTCCTTTCCTAGCAGTAAGATTTACTACTTTTTTCTTCAGATGCCAACAATAAAAGTTTTATGATAGCATAGTTACTTTTTCTTCTCTTCCCACCCTCCATTCCATTTCTGGCTTGAAGATAGTGGGAATATTCAAAATGTTGCGCTAGAAGGAACACAGAGAAAAGAACATGTTTCAACTGAACACTCTTATTAAGCTCACCCTGACCCTGAGAACCCTGCCTCATTTATAAAATGTTTCAACTGTCAGTCATTTTTGCCTGAAAAATAAATTCACAGAAATTGGTCCAAATACAGCCTGTATAAACTGCTGAGTTGATTTTTACATGGTTAGTTCTACCTCACCTCCTTCCACAGATGATTTGAGGCAGCTTACTAAAATACAGACATTCCTGGATTAAAGAAATAGTTGAAGTACCCAGGGAAGGGAAAGCTAAAGGAGAATAACACACCCAACGATAAGAATAGCAGTGAAGTATGCAGGCCATCAGATCCAAAACAGTTGTTCAAGGTGGGCCAAAGATTTGCCCCTAAGCTTTTGAATGAGGAAATAGAAAATAGAAAAGAGGAAATAGCAATCATTTTAAGGTTTTTCAGTGTTCACAAGATCAAAATCAACCTTTTGTTTTTTCAGAAACAGTTTTTCTTGAATTTTAGCCCTGAGAGAAATCCTGTTTCCTCATATAGATGATGTAGTGAGCTCAGTGGGAAAGAAGTGTCATCAGGAGTTAAACACGGGGCCCTTCAAATGTGAGCTGTTGGCACAATCACAAAGCACAGTGCATTAAATCAACTCCATGAACCATCAAAATGTTTCTATTCATCCAAGTACATAGGCCCTCAATGGTCTGGCTTAATCCAGGGTCACATTTGATAATCCTTCCCCAGGATGGCAAATAGGTTTCAGTTCATATGTCAACTTTGAGCTATTTGTAGTGGCTGTCTGAATAACTATGTTGAGTTTTGCGGCTTTGTCTAGGCTCAGAAGGAAAAAGTTCTCTGATTGATTAACAACGTCTGTCATGGATGCAGGATGGGTGAGTGGCTGTGTGCAAAAACCTATCTGGTATCTCTGATGTATAGAAATAGAGAGGTTGCATGCAGGGCTTTTGTGTAGTTACTCCAAATCAACAATTCTCATTATAGGGCTTTTGATAAATATCCTACAGTAGAGAGTTCAAGGTCTCTATCTCACTCTGACCAACCCACACTGGTCCTCTCCTGTCCATTCCCATCTCAGAACATTTTCCTTTGCTGTTCTCATTGTTTGGATCACTCTTTGCCTAGCTTTACAAGGCTGGGTTTTTCTCATCATTCAGTTCTCAGCTACAATGTCATCTCTTTAGAGATATCTTTCCTCACAACCATATCTGAAGTTGTATCCAGAGCCTCTCAATCTGTCCTGGGCACAGAGATCACGTTATAGTACAGACTCTGACTCAGTGGTTCTGGGATGTGACCTGAGAGTCTGCATTCAAGCAAACTTCCAGGAGATGCAAACCTGATGTTCCATGGAAGGCACTTTGAGTAGCAGCCCCACCTCTCCATCTCTATTGCATTATCTGTTTCATTTTCCTCGTGGTGTGTCTCACGATTCGAAATTATTTCTTTATCTGTTTGTATATTGGATTGTTTGTTGGTTGGTTGTTTACTAGAATGTAAATTCCATAGGAGCAGGGACTTTGACCAGTTTGTTCAACTTTGTATTCGCAGCACTGAACACAGTACCTGGCACAGCAGGAGATGCTCCGTAAATATTGCTGAATGAATGATGCTGTTCAAGATTTGTTGATTAGCTTGAACTAGAATGTAAATCTGATATGTCACTAGCACAGTGTTTAGTTAGGACGACTTTTAAAAATTTTCATAGCAAGGCTTTCTTGATGAAGGAAGCAATGAGTTGTTTTCTCTTCTGGGGCAGGGTCCTCTTCTAATCCTAGATTGGTGACAGTGTGAGAACTGGCCCCTGCTGATGGGACACATTTTGAGTAGCACTGATATAGAGGATAAAAATATACAATGTTATGTAATGCTTATGTATTATGTTTTTATGTATTTTTATACATAAAATGTATATGTATATGTATGTATATTTTATGTATATTATGTATAATATATTTTATATATTATGTATTTATATTTTTTCCATCTTCAGGAAACTCATAGGCAGATAGAAATACACACTTTGAGACACAATTACAAGATTTTTCATCACTTGCTATAATAAACAATTGTAGGAGAGAACAGAAAATTGTGGGAGAGAATGGATAATTGTAGCAGAGAATGGAAAAGTATAGGAAAGAATGGGGAATTTTGTGAATAAAGGAAGAATTGTGGAAGACAAATAATTGTGGGATAGGAAAGAATGATAAGAGAGGGAATTGTGGGAGAGAATGGAAAATTGTGAGAGAGAGGAGAAACTCTGGGGGAGAATGAAAGATTGTGGGCAAGAACAGAGAATTGTAGGAGAGACAAGAAATTTTGGGAGACAAGGTTTGATGGTTAATATTATGTGTCAACTTGGTGGGGCCACAGTACTCAGATATTTGGTCAAACATTATTCTAGATGTTTCTATGAAGGTGGTCTTTTAGGGGGATGAGATTAACATTTAAATCAGTGGATTTTGAGTAAAGCAGATTACCCTCCATAATACAGGTAGGCACCATCCAATTAATTGAAAGCCTTAATAGAACAAAGACTAACCCTCCCTGGAAGAATTCTGCCAGCCAACTGTGTTTGGACTGAACTCAACTCTTCCCTGAGTCTCCAGCCTACCAGCCTACCCTGAAGATATTGGACTTACTGAGCCTCCGCAATCGTTTGAGCCAATTCCTTAAAATAGATCTCTCCACATATATAAATATATGATACTGAGCCTCTTAATCTCAAGTTCATGTGCCCAATGCACAGCAAGCAAAACACTGAGACGTTGGTGCTTGGAGATGGAGAAAGATTTATTTGAATTGGCCAAAACGAGTAGGTGGGAGCCTGGGTTCACTCAAATTCGCCTCCCCAAGAACAGAAAGCGGGGGGCTTTCTGAGAGGGGGCTCTATAGAGCCAAGGGTCTTGGCAGGATGAGCCTGGGGGAAACACAAGGGTCACTCCCAATAAGCCCCTGGGCAATCTGACTTCTGGGCTTCAGCGGCTGTAGAGGGCCAGCCACCTGAGGGCCAGTCATTAGGTGATTGCAACCTCCCCAAAGACATTCTCTTTCTTCTGCAAAACGAGCTCACAAATGCTCTGGAAAACAAGCTCACAACTCCTCGAGACCCCTGAGTCACCTCTCAAGTTAAACAGGAAAACAGCAAATTGGTTCAATATATACAGTAACCCTCAGGTACCCAGCTTCCTATATATATCCTGTTGGTTCTGTTTCTCTGGAGAACCCTGACTGATACACAAGGTGTTGTGGGAGAGACTGAGAATTGGCCCCTTACACCTTGGTATTGCCACCTGAGCTCAGTTCTAGTCACCCCAGCCCCCCATGCCTCTCAGACTCAGGACATTCCCTTGGCTGCCCCTATGCTCCTTTGTGGCCGTTCCCATCACTCTAGAGTCATGCCCGTCTATTCCACCTGACCAAACCATTCTCATATGAGCCGCTACTCATCCCTCCTCCCTACCATGCTCCTCCTTTTCCCAGACAATCCCTGTGCTCCACCTTGACCACTACAGCCTGGGCAAGCTCCTAACATTCCATCTAGGCCATGTCTTTTTCCCTCTTATTTCAGCAAGCTAAGGCCTCTGATCAATGTGGTGATTACACAGCTACTGCCAGAGCCACACCTCCTGTGTGCCTTAATAGACATGCCCACTACCAAGACACCACAAAGAATTATGGGAAGCACACAATTATGGGAGAGAACAGAGAACTGTGGGAGAGACAGGAAATTGTGGGAAAGGAGCACTGTGAGAGGAAATAGAAGATTTGAAATAGAGAATTATGGGAGAAAAGCAAGGATTGTGTGACAACATGGAGGAGTGTGGGATAAAACAGAATTGTAGATGAGAACAGAAATATGTGAGATGCAGGGAATTTTGGGAGAGAGGGAACTATGGGAAGGCAAAGTATTGTTGGAGAGAATGAGAATTCACCCTCTGTTTGCCCTGCCTCTTCTGCTTTGCCATCTTTGCTCCTCCATGAGCACCATGGCCCAGAAAGCTGCCAATCTACCTCTCCCACTATGACCATTCCCCCAGGCATTTTCATGGCACCTCACTCTTCATTCAGGGCCACGCTATGCTTCATCATAGCCATGCCTCTTACCTAGGAACCACAGGGAATTGCAGGAGACATAATATTATGGGAGAAAACTCTGGGAAAGATAGGTAATTGTGGGAGAAAATGGAGCATTTTTGGAGAGAACAGAAAATTCTGGGAGAAAATAGAATTGTGAGGGAAACCTAGACACAAGGATTGCAGGAGAGCACGGAGGATTGTGGGAGAGTACAGAGGATTGTGGGAGAGCCATAGCATTGTGGGGGAGCATGGGGAATTGTGGGAGAGCAGGAAAATTGTGGGAGATAACAAAGTATTATGGGAGAAAACAGAATTGTGGGAGAGACAAGGAATTGTGGGAAAAATAAGGTATTGTGGGAGAGAGAGAGAATTCATTCCCTACTCTACCC